TAGTACAGAAGCAAGTAATTTTTTGAAAATGTATTCCTTGGTATCGGGATCCAAATTGCGTAATGCCTGGTCTTTTGCAGGGATGTTTGTTTGGGGGTGGCGTGTGTGTATATACGTACACACCCGTGCGCACATGCGTATATTTTGTCGATCCGAATAATCTTTAGGAATCTTTTCATAAAAAACGCTAAGTTTTTTTCACGTTGTTGCAGAGGCACTGAGGAGGGAAGCATTAGTACCGGTGGGGTGATGGGAAGGGTTTTCTTTCTAAAAAGCCCTCCTGGAGGTTGCCTGCGAAGTTGCCTGAGGGGTATTTCTTAGTGCTGCACATTGTTATTTCCGCTGCTAATTACGTTTTTATGCATTTCATTATCAGGGTCCAAACAGAACTGACTCTTGGGGAAATGTGCAATATTGAGGTTATAATTATATACTGACAAAGACAAAAGGAACAGGCTAGAACAGAATTCTACTCTAACGGAGTACAGCTATTTCTGAACAAAACTGTATTAAAAGCGAGTAAAACAGCACAATCTTTGGGTGTTTGTTTTTGGCTGGTTTGTTTTTGGCATATTAGCAAAATGAGGTTTTGGATTAGATAGGTGTTTTTTCGTATGGTTTTTAATGCTGTATATGTATATAAATAGGAAGCAGGAAACTCTGTAACACTAGTTATTTTTTATATTTTGTAATATGCTTATATTGTGTTTCTGGTATAAACCCCACTCCCCGCCCGAGGCAGAGCATGACTTCCGTTGGTATCGGTAGAAGCTATGCTTGGGTCTAAAGGGGAGAACAGCCCGTGCTCCTACAGGAATGAGCGGGGTAGGGCGTGCAAACTTTGGAAGCAGGTGAGAAAACAGTGAGCCGGCTTGGCTGGAAGCTGCCAGCCGAACGTCAGGAAATAGCTGCGTTCTGTCTAAATGCTTAAAGGACCCATCTCCCTCGTGTGACACAGGGTGCCTTCAAGTTACCTTGGCTTCATGCAGCCTGCAGTATTACGCATTTGCAAATAGTATCGATACCTGTTTTTTTGTTTGTTTTGCTGTTTTTTTTTAAAAGAAAAAAGCCAAAGATCGACCAGGTTAATGGGTGGGAGTAGGAAGGGTTGGAGATGTAATGTGGCTCTGTCTGTGGCTCTCCATAAACGACCTCTTTATCTGTGTGTTGTATCTGTGTGTCTCTATCGGCGCATCTCCAGCTTGCCACTGCTGCCGCGTGGTCTGGAAGCTTCAAAGTGAGCGAAAATTGCTTGAGTTGAAGTTCTGCTAATGAGTGGTGCCTTGCAGCAGAGGAAACACCAAAGTCTCATGCTCATTTGTGGTGGTTTAAAAAAAAAAACCCAACCCAAAAAACAGATTGCGTGGAGGTGGCTGGAGCGGAGGGCAAGAAGAAGCCAGCTCATCACAAAGCAGCAACTTCGCCTTCGGTTTTGTAAGGGGTAGCACACGTACTGAAAACGCAGAATTTCCTCTTCGATATTTGTTTTGTTAAACGCCGTGGATCAAAAGGCCACAGATTCTTTTGTTTCCTGTCCTGAGCAATGACAAGCACTTTACTTTCATAGTATTTTTTTTCCCAATTGCTGTAGAACCTCTTTGGAATTATTGCTGGAGCAGAAAGAGGTCATTTTAAAAGTTTGGGGTTTTTTGTAGATATCTCGACAGTGCTGTTCTGCAGACTGCAATGCAATAGGGTATTTAAAGACACTACGTGATTGGTTTAATTGAGATGTATAGTTTATTTTTTATCATGACTGAGCAATCATTTTATTTCTTATGTTAAAATGAGAGGTGTACACCAAAACGATTAGTCGATGTGTTTTATTTAATATTTAAATAAAAAATGTTTTAAAATTGTTGTCCTGCGTACGATTCCGTGGAGTATCTTCACCTGATACATACATATGACTTGCATAGTTAAGACTCATTTTAAAGCCTAAGTCCACAGGACGTTACTCACACTTTCTGTTGCATACTAAATGAAGAGGAATGGCGGGCTCACAAATCTGATAATGGGATATGGGGCCTTTCGCTGGTAGGCAATCTGTCTGAATCTAGCCCAAGTCTGTAGTAATCGGGTTATAAAACCTGACAGTGAGAGAGGTCTTCGGAGTGAAAACGGTCAAGCGTGGTTTAGTCGTTACCGGATGAGCACTCCCTCCGTGTCACCTTGATCTGAAAGAGGCCCCGGCCAGATTAAGGCAGTGATGGAAAAAGAGCAAAGGGGAAGCGAGAGGGAGGGAGAGAGCCCAGGGGTGATGGCTTTTCCCCTCTCAAATACGATTTGAGAATTAAAACAATAGGGGAAAGGTACGGGCTTAGTTGTGCTGGGAATGTGTGTACGGCGCCGGCTGCCCTGCACGGTGGGGATGCCTCCGCCAGCTTTGAACACGCGGAGGTTCCTGCTGCGGCCGCGTGCCACCGCGCTGCCCTCGCTGCGGGTGGGGATGCGCCTCGGCTCCAGCAAGAGCAGTTGTGAGAGCACCCAACGCGGCCGCCTGTGAACCGAGGCGGTGGCACTGAGGCTTGGTGGGAGGCTGGGAGGGGAAGGGGCCCGTGGGGCCGTGCCTGGGGGAGTGCAGGAGGAGAGAGCGGCCCGAGCCTGCTGCTTAGACTGCCGAACCTGATCCTCCGTCTCTTCCCCAGCTCTACTTCATTCGCTCTGTGTTTCCCTTGCACCTTTGAGAGACGTGCGTAGCCCTGGGCTGTCGTCTGCAGAGCATGCACACGGGACGTGAGCGATAGAAGGCTTTGTATTCTGCACGTGCAGTTAGAATGAGGGCGAGGAGGGGTTTCACCTGCAAAGGGACCTCGGAATATTTGCAACCTCTGGTTTAACCTGGCAAACACTCGGCAAAAAAAGGATTTTTTCTTCCGAACAAACAATGGTGGGGTATTTGAAAAGAATTTAGATCCTCATTCTGAAGTTTTTGCTTTCAAATCCACCTACCACATTTTGAAGGTGGGAAGGTAAATCCAAAAAGTTAAAAAAAGGCCTGGGGGCAACAGACATAACATTTACTTATTTTGCTTTCTAAAGGAGTTGTTTGCTGAGCTGGAACTGGAAGAGCTTTGTATGCATTTGCCATGACTCTCAAACTGGTAGAAAAGTGTCATGCACATGTTTTTCTAGTGTTGTGTTTTCAATGTGACCGTCCAAAGTTAGGAATTTTGCAACTGTTAAAAATAATGGAGGTATTCTTAATTATTTTTAATCTAGCTTTTAGTATGACCTGGTTTAAGAATAATCCCAACTGCTGTTTTCAGCTGGGTTCTCAGGGCATTATTTTAAACCCCAGTAATTCTGGGAAATCTCAGAAAGTTGCTTCTTAATGGATATAAATCAGTGCAGCTCCACCAACTTTCATTGACATCACTGACCCTTGGGTATAGAGGGATCTTGACAGCATCATGATTTCTGTGAAACGGTAGGAAAAACAAGAACAAAGAAACCCTGGGACTCTGGACTCAGTTTCCATGTGTACACTGTTTCACTCTTGGTGCTTTAGTCACTGTCTTCCTGCCTCTCCTCTGAAATCTGTCTCTGCTCCCGTTCACCACGTTTGTTTTTGCCTTTAATATCTCTCAAGATGCTGTTTTTCTTGGCTTCGTTTCTCACATTACAACTTGGTACCTAGTTCCTCTTCCTTTCTTTCCCGGTCCGGGATTGGTGTTCTTTCCCCCCTTTCAGACGGAACAGACGCTGGCAAGTTTAGCATAGCCCCAAAAGTGAATGATCAAACCTTGGGTTTTTTTAAAAAAGGAAGTGCTTAGAGCTGGCAGGAGATGCTAGACTGGTAGCAATGAAAAACACGGGCTGTTTTTGCACGGAGCAAGCCGAGCGCAGACACCAAGCCGAGCACTCTGGTGCCAGCGTGGTCCAGCCGTGGTAGCGAGGGATTCTCACCTGTCCCTCTCCTCCTGCCCTCCGGCAGGAGACACGTAACTCATCCCCGGACCCACGACCTTCTCCCTCACTGTGTCCGGAGCAGCAGCCACACCTCAGTGAGGAAAGGACTTCCTCACGGTGAAAGGCATCGTCATGTAATCTTGGCCTCTGTCAGCTGGAAAGGAGAAGCGGCAGAAGGGAGAGCAGTTGAGCGTACAGAATTATGGTGCATGAGATATGAAGTGATCAGTACTTCCGTTCTACTCATCCTGCAAAGTGAGAATAAGGCACGCTTCATGCAATGAAGGAGAATTAATTTAAGAACTAATAAAAGGAAATATGTGCCTCGGGAGGACATTGCTTCAAATACGGTTGCTGGCTTATTTCATGACTGCTAACTACTTTTAGTGGTGACAGTTAAATCAATTATAAAGGTAATCCACTGTCATGGTTTATGGATTTACCAGAGCATCTGTGGGAGATCAGGAAAGAGCTGGTCTTTGGTACAGACTGCCAGGGGCACGATAGATAGGTTTTTAGGACAGAAATGCCTTTTCCCCAAGGCATCAGATATTAGCGCCTGCCAAAGGCAAGACATTCATGTGAGGCGAACAAACTTGATCATCACCTGCAATAAATTCCAGTTTCTTCATATGCATCTTATATCATACGTAATGTCTTACGCAGTGAAGGTGGCTCGGACCAAAGGTCCAGCTAATCAGGTAGCTCATTTCAGAAGCAGACTCTTAGGGAAAGGGTGTAAGGACAGGGCAAGCATAGCACAATCCCTCTGTGCTATTACCAGCTCAGTAGAGAGCAGGCTGCGGTTAAGGGAATTTTTGACTGGCATCTGGGTCATTGTGTTTAACAGCTGCAGATGGGTCGAGCCTCCAAGAATTTGGCTAGCCCCTTTTGGAATTCTTTAATAATTCTGGCCTTCACAGCATCCTGTGACAACGGGTGCCATAATTCAATTTTGCATCGTGTGAAAGAAGTACTTCCTTTTCTTTGTGTTAGACCTCCAGCCCAACAGATTGTGTTGTGCTGCCTTTCTCTTGTGATAGCAGACACGACAAGTAACGCTTTTCTGTTCACACCTCCATGCTGCTCATTAGTTGTCGGGACCTCTCTCAAATCCCTTCTCTGTTGAGGTGACTGAGGAGAAGAACGCTACTGTAGTTAGCCTGCCCGCCTATGGAAACCATTGCACGTTTCCGTGCCATCTCTTCTGTATCTTCACCGATTCTTCTACACCCTCCTCAGTGTATACACCCTCTGTTTGAGGCAGGGGTACCCTAGAAGTGGTCACTTTTTCATTCTCTCTTCATTCTGTAGTCATTCCTAAAGCTCTTTTTTGCCTCGTTGACAACCGTTGAGCAACGAGCTGGAGTTTTCAGCAAACTCGGTGACTCTGAGGTTTCCTTCCCAACTGATGTTAATTTAAAGCCCCTGATGGTCTTTGTGTGGCTAGGGTTGGTGTTCCTCACGCTCCTTGCTTTGTATTTGCTGCTGGCGAGTTTCATATGTCATTTCATCAACCTGTCATTCAGTTTTCTGAGATCACTTTCCACTTGGTTGCAGCTGGATCTTTTACAAATATGCTGAGTTGCACAGGTCTTGACATGAATGGATTTGCAATGTCTGAGCTCTCACTCTACAAACTTTGCTCTTTCCCGTTCTATCACATATCTAGCCATTCTGCTCTTCGTTATACTTTCTGTCAGTTCGCCTTGCCCAGCTTTGCAGCCCACAAGTCTCTGGATGGCCTTTAAAAGTCGTTTTTAAAAATGAATGTAACATTTGCCACCTTCCATTCCTGTGGTGCCTCGTCATTCCAACAGCTGCTGCGGCATTGTGCTGAATAGGTCAGCAGTTTCAAGTCTGAGTTCCCTCAGAGCTCCTGAGTGAAACCGTCTGGTCCCAGCAATCTGCTAATATTACTTTTATTGTTTTATCCTAAAATCTCTTCTACCTGAGTTCTGGAGAGCTTCTGAGGCTCGTTCCCTGTGCAGCCAGCCACTGGAGTGGGGCATGAAATTGAGCAGAACTACCATGAGTGGACGGATGGGTCTGCGTAGCCAGCAGCTGAGCCGCACAGACCACATGCTGTCCCTTTTGCACCTCACAGGCAGGTGACAAAGCAGTGACAGCCGTGTGGGCACCGGGGAGTGCCCAGGTCAGCCCAGCGGGCCCCTCGTTATGTCCTCCAGAGATGACCAAGCCTTTCTTCCTTCACTGCATTTACAGAGATGCAGAGTTGAATTTATGGATTGCTTCCTCAGCTGATGTAAACTGGCGTTGCTAAATCAAAGCTAATGCAGCGACGCTGCTTTATGATATAAATGCTATTAACAGCACATTAAGGCTCTGACCTCCAGAGCCAGACAATCTCATCCTTTGTTTCTTCAGCCACTGAGGCAGTGAATTTAGATTCATTATTTCTGACGGAGCTTTTCCTGTATCATGCTGGGGTGTTTTTTTAGTTCTCCTCTGTCTTAACGTCCCTTTCCGCTACCCTGGGCAACTGTTTTTTTACCAGTCCTTGGTTTATTCTGAGACAACAAAAATATCTTAGTCAAGAGCTGGAAGGGATTTCAGAAATTCTAGCTAAGTGCTTTTTTGCCTATCCTTGCTGATCATTTCTTTTCCGTTTCCTGGTAAGGTACCATCATTATCATTTGGTGAGCTCGTCTACACACTCAATAGGTAGATGGGTATTTAGGGTCTCTCACACCCATTATCCCCAGCCACCTGCTGGATTTCCAAACAGATGTCCTCCTGCAAGCAACAGCTTGCAAAAATTGAGCTTTAAACCCCTCCGTTCATGCCACATGAAAAAAAAACAACTAGCAAATCATTTGATTTTAGCCACTTTGTCCTACTTGCTTAACAATATTACTCATATTTGCTGGGATATATTCACACTTTCTGTTCTTTGGGCCGAGTGAAGGTAGTTGTGCAGTGGTCAGC